CATGTATAAGTATGTGAGAGGAAGCTACAGGGAGGAGGGAGCAAGCTTGTTTTCTGCTTCCCTGGAGACTAGAACGCAGGGGTGATTTGAATGCAATATTCCTGCTTCTTGGCAGGGGGTTGGACTGGATGGCCCATGAAGTCTCTTCCAACTCTTTGATTCTGTGATTCTATGATGCGGAACAATGGCTTCAAACTACAAGAGAGGAGATTCCATCTGAACATGAGGAAGAACTTCCTGACTGTGAGAGCCGTTCAGCAGTGGAACTCTCTGCCCCGGAGTGTGGTGGAGGCTCCTTCTTTGGAAGCTTTTAAACAGAGGCTGGATGGCCATCTGTCAGGGGTGATTTGAATGCAATATTCCTGCTTCTTGGCAGAATGGGGTTGGACTGGATGGCCCATGAGGTCTCTTCCAACTCTTTGATTCTATGATTCTATAGTTTATTTTACATTCTGCCACAATTGTCAACACATTTTCTCTTCTTAATTAGAAACTTATCCTTTTAGTGGCATTTACTGCAACTCAATCAACAAAGTTATACAAGTATCTATACTTAGACAACACCAGTATTCCACGTTTATAGTGATTAAACCCCTCTGAAAGTTTCTAAACAGGCTGATTGCCATCTTTCAGGAGGGCTTCCTGGCTGAAGGGGGCTGGGCTGAATGTTCTTTGGGGGCATGCTATCTTTTGGGAGGGTCTCTGCAAAACCATAGTTTCCTCTCTTTCGATCCAGGTGCTTCCTTTCTGTTTTAAAAATTCAAACAGCTGCACCACTCCAGAGCTCAACCAACCTGCTAATATTCATTCTCCCTCTTAATAAAGCATTTCCTTTCCGTTTGGTAAAACTTCCCGTTCATGTTTGGCTGTTCCCAAGTACAATCGGCACCTCCTTTCATTCCCATTTTAAGTGTTCTTCAGAAAGTTGACAACACAGAATTACTGAAATCGGAGAGGGGGGATGCATGGGTTAGTTGAAGTGAATTCTAATAATCTTAACAGATGAGAGAGATGATGGGCCAAAACTAACAAAATGAAGTTCAACAGGGACAAATGCAAGAGACTCCACTTAGGCAGAAAAAAGGAAATGCAAAGAGACAGAATGGGGGATGATGCCTGGCTTGAGAGCAGGATGTATGAAAAGGATCTTGGAGTCATTGTGGGGAGGAAGTTAAACATGAATTAACAATGTCATGCAGCAGCTAAAAAAGCCAATGGGATTTTGGCCTACATAAATAGGAATCTAGACCAGAGAGATATTGACAAGCTGGAATGTGTCCAGAGGAGAGTGACTAAAATGATAAAGGGTCTGGAGAACAAGCCCTATGAGGAGCGGCTTAAGGAGCTGGGCATGTTTAGCCTGAAGAAGAGAAGGTTGAGAGGAGATATGATAGCCACGTATAAATATGTGAGAGGAAGCCACAGGGAGGACGGAGCAAGCTTGTTTTCTGCTTCCTTGGAGACTAGGACGCAATGGAACAATGGCTTCAAATTACAAGAGAGGAGATTCCATCTGAACATGAGGAAGAACTTCCTGACTGTGAGAGCCGTTCAGCAGTGGAACTCTCTGCCCCGGAGTGTGGTGGAGGCTCCTTCTTTGGAAGCTTTTAAACAGAGGCTGGATGGCCATCTGTCAGGGGTGATTTGAATGCAATATTCCTGCTTCTTGGCAGAATGGGGTTGGACTGGATGGCCCACGAGGTCTCTTCCAACTCTTTGATTCTATGATTCTATGATTCTCAACCTTGGGTCCCCAGATGTTTTTGGGCTTCAACTCCCAGAAATCCACGCCAGTTTACCAGCTGTTAGGATTTCTGGGAGTTGAAGGCCAAAAACATCTGGAGACCCCAGGTTGAGAGCCACTGAAGACCCAGGGAAGTTATGCTGTTCTGCCTTGGTCAGACCACACCTGGAATCACACTGTAACTAATTCTGGGCACCGCAATTAAAGGAAGATGTTGACAAACTGGATGTGTCCAGAGGAGGGTGACTAAAATGATCAAGGGTTTGGAGAACAAGCTCTACGAGGAGTGACTTAATGAGCTGGACATGTTGAGCCTGAAGAAGTGAAGGCTGAGATGAGACATAATGAGGGCCAGATGTGAGGAGAAGCCATAGGGAGCACCAGGATTGTGGCGCAGCTGGCTGAGTATCAGCTGCATTAAGATCACCCTGACCAAAAGGTCATGAGTTTGAAGCCAGCCCGGGCTGGAGTGGGCTTCCAACCAATTGTGTAGCCTGTTGTCGACCTTTGCAACCCGAAAGACAGCTGCATCTGTCAAGTAGGAAAATTAGGTACCACCTTGTGTGGGGAGGCTAAATTAACTAATTTATGAGGCCATAAAAAAAGACTCCAGCAAAAGCATGCGGGGAATGCGGAAGTACTTCATCAGTGTCGCACATGGACGCTGAAAGCGACAGCTCTCCTGGCAGACAGAAAAAAGTTAAATAGCCTCTGTGTAT